CGTGTGAAAAGTGCTTTTCCCTTTTCTATTACACAAAAAACACTTATTTTACCAAACACTACCAACTTTTACTTTTCAAAATCACTTTTTTCTCAAACACTATCAACTTTTACTACTAATCACTTTTTCATTAAATCTCCAAAAGTGCTTTTTTTAAGCAGAAGCAGTTGCAAACACTCCCTTAATATTACTACATATTAGGATGTTTTCTTTTAGACTGTTTTCAGTCCCAGACCAGACTGGATCAGACCAGATCAGATTTTCGTAGTTATAAAATATACAAAGACCAGACCGTATCAGATCAGTCCAGACCAGACCAACAAATTTCAGTTCAAAAAAACATCCTTAGTTTGAATGTTTTTTATATTTATTTATAATTATTAATATATGCTTCTAAAATCTTAGAGTTGGAATTTCAAGATGATTTTAAAATATGATTTCCATGACCTTGTTTTGGGTAACTCTTTCAAATCTATCCAAGTAATTTCCTTCTACGGAGTATAAGATTCACTGTATCATAAAAATATTTTCTTATTTTTGTACTTTTCCTGGGTTTTCTGACTTTACTCCTATTTACGGTATTATCTCTTTCGTATATACTAATACTACTACGTATACAGTCAGGGGCGGAGCTAGGGGGTGGCCACCCCTGGCCCAGCCCAAATTTTAAAAATCTCTATATTTTTAGTATAATACAGTATATTGCGTATGTGTTTTCTCTTAAGAGACTAGTATTATCTATTTATCTTGACACTTGACAAACAACGGTGAATTAACAGCGAAGCAGAACTTTGATTCTTAATTGATGACGAAATAAAATCAGTTCTTCTGTTAACGCACGTGTATTTTGTAATAGGCCAAATTGTTTTTTATTTGGGCCAAGTGTATTTATTTAGTCAGTCTTGTTTAGAACTAGTAATTCACCCGTGCGATGCACGGTAGATGAATTTATTTTTTGTATATGCATTGTAGCAAATAATAAGACGTATATACTTGTTTGGGGACAATATTTCTGTTGTCGTAGCAATTTGACATATTTAATACACCCACATTAAGATCAGTGACATATCCACTATGGGGGCAGCGGGGGCAGCTGCCCCCACTCAACCACAACCCCAATCCTTGTATATATCTAAAATTTTATAAGAAATTGCTCAAAATAAGAGTTAAGTGTAGAAAAAAAATCTAAAATAGGATTAAGAGTGTTTATTTTCATATTACAGAATGAAAGGCTAAAAAGTTCACTAAATTTTGTTATGCGTAGCTTATATTCAGGTAATTTTTCTCAAATTTTATCCGCAATTGCATCTTTACACATCCATAATATATATTAATTTTCTTTTTATTCATACTGATACATATATATCTTAAACTAAATTTAATCAAACAATATTAATGATGTGATTTGTTATTTGTGAAATATGAGACTAAATTGTAGTGCAAGTTTGCCCCACTCACCAAGTTTCCTGGATGCGCCACGTCGCCACTCATTAAGATAATTGATAAAAACAAATAAATGCTTTGCATACCGGTATATTTATTACTCCGTCTTATGAATAGAGTACTATGCATTTATATAAAGGCATGAAATACAGTTCACTTATTTATCACACGGGTGTTTTACATTTATACACCACAGGAAAAGTGTGGAATAAACAAAATTAACAACAAATTAAGGATGTAGACATTATCTCAGATCATGGATTATTTATAAATAAAAAAAGTTAAAGGTTTTAATACCACTTAAAACTCTTTAAATCGGTTATACACGTACTATGGACAATTTGTTTTTTTATCATACGTACTATGGACAATAATAAAACCGGTTACTTGAATTTTTAAAATGCATACTCCCTCCCTCCCAAATTAAATTGCAAACTTTGACCGACATAAGGATTAAAGAATGACAATAAATGATGTTTTCTTTTTACACTTTTGTCCATTATCCAAAAAGTAGATGTGGGAAAAAAGTAAAAAGTAAGGGTATACTTGCTACTTTATCTTATTTACATACCTAAAATAGAAAGTGGGAAATCATTTTGAGACAACCAAAATAGAAAATTTCGCAAACCAAATTGGGAGGGAAGGCGTATTAAAAACAAACATACTTTAACAATGTTTTGTTTTGTTACAGGTTTTCTAACAGTTTAAAAGCAATAAAAGTGCGTATAGGAACAATTGTATAAAAACATTTTTATTTTTATAACCTATAGTAAGTATTAACAAACATGAAAAAAAATGACAATCCAGAGCCCGACTCCGGATCCATTTATATTGGCCCTTCCAAAGCAGCCTAAATAATCCTTAAACCACGCCCATTACCCGGAGGTATATAAACACATTCTGAAAGCGACACCCACCCCAAACCCTCATTTCTCTTCGCCGACATAAACCAACAGGACCCCTCTCTCGGTCTCTCCCACGCGACTCCACCGCTGTTAATCCAAGCGCCGGCGAATGAACCGGGCGCCTGAAATAAGACACACTGCCACCACGCAAATTCCGTCCACCCGGCACTACCTGCCGTTGATGGACACTAATCGGCGGTACACCCCATTTTGCTATTTGAGCTGGAACGGCGAATGGATGTGGGAATAACTCCACAGGAGTGGGGCTTTTATAGTTGGAACGTATCAACTATCAACAGCAATAGGGTTGAATAGACCCACTCCCATACACTATTTGGACCTCCCTTCTCCACCAGACAAAATAACGCAAGTTGAGTCTCAAAATCAAATCAGGATTTATGCCAACAGTGGTGACCTCCATTTAGACCAATAGTATCACCCGCAAATGCAGCTCAATTATTCACACCTTTACGATTTATAATTACGATTTATAATTTGCATTTTTTTTGAGCAATTAAAATCACGTAAAGCTGAAAATGACATATTTCAGCGGGAACACCGTTCCCTTTACATCTTTTCCTTTTATATTAAGATAGATAACGCACTCTTCATACTTGTATATATACGGTTGTACTGGCTCGTTTGAAGCAATTTTAATAAAATCGTTATTCTCCATATTAGTGCAAAATCCAACATGGTATTAGAGCCCCAAAAAGGGAAAGCCGCAGATTCCTTCCTCCTTCGTCAATGGCTTTACGCGACACCAGCGTGTTTTGCGTAGTAGCCATGGGGGACAATGCTGCACCCAGAATTGATACTACATCACTGTATTACCTTAGCCCTGGGGATCAACCGGGGAATCTCATAACTATGTGGCGTGGATGAGAGGGATGACCTTGTCCTTGAAGGCACGGCGAAAGTACGTGTTTGTTGACGGATCCTCAAGAAACCGACTGAAGCGGCTCAGATAATTGACTGGGAAACTAACAACTCCATGATTGTTTCATGGATTCTCAGGAGCATGGATCCCACGGTGGCTGTGCCCACCCCGTTTCACGAAGAAGCACAGTCACTGTGGGTGTATTTGGAGGGCCGTTTCAGCATAGCTAACGGACCACGAATTCAGAGGCTTCGAGCCTCGATTACAGACTGTAAACAGAGCAAGACGATGTCAGTTGACGCATATTTCACGATGCTTGTGAGTTTATATGATGAGTTGAATCGGTTGAAACCTTACATGCATGTACTTGTGGTTTATGTACGTGTAATGTGGTCGCGAAGTTTGAGGCAGATCGTAAAGAAGAAAAATTACATCAATTCTTAATTGGAATTGACGATGATGTGTACGGGACGGTCCGCTCCAACCTATTGTCAAGCACGCCGCTGCCAGACCTTAACCGAGCGCACCAAGCCTTTCTCCAAGAGGAGAATTCACGTGCTATTGTACGAAGTAAATCTGCCGCAGTGGATGCACATGCTTTTGCGCTCCAAGCAGACCGCACCAAGGGACGAACAAACCGTAACAATCGAGCCAAAGTGATGTGTTCGCATTGCAAACAGAAAGGACATGAAATTGATACCTGTTTCAAGCTTCACGGGTACCCGAAATGGTGGGAGGAACGTAACCGTTCCAAACAGCCTGCGGCAGGGCGCGACAGCTAGTATTGCACGTACGCATGCAGTGGCTCCCTCCCTTGTGGCACAGGAACTGGGAAGTAACAGTGCTTCATCATAGAGTGAGCCTCGGGGTTTACATGACTCGAGTAAGGAGCAAATTCATGCGCTTCTGAATTTAATTAGCAGTGAAACTCGTTCCAATGATCGCATGACTGGTATGACCACTTACTTTGATTGGATTATTGATACCGGGGCATCACATCACCGGTGATTCTTCTCGTCTCATGAATGTCACACGTATACATGAGCGTCCGATTGGACTACCTGACGGACGACGTGCTGCGGCAATTTTGGAGGGCAGCGTGTGCCTCTCTAAAAATATTACTATTCATCATGTTCTTTTTGTCCCTGGATTAAATTGTCATCTTTTTTCGGTATCCCAATTGACAGATCAATTTAAGTGTGCTATCACTTTCACTAATTCTTCTTGTGCTACACAGGACCTGCGCTCGAGGAACCTGATTGGAGCCAGTGATAGACGAGATGGGCTTTACTACTTCAGAGGTGTGCCAGAGATACATGTTGTTCAGAAGTAATAAAAGAATGAATTTGAAATATGGCATCGTGGGTTAGGTCATCCCTCAGACCGGGTTGTTAAATTATTACCCACTATTGCTTCTAGTTCTTTTCCAATGAAATTAAATAAAGCTTGTGAGGTGTGTCCACAAGCAAAGCAAGTTCGCAATTCTTTCCCTACTAGTATTAATAAAACAAGTAGAATTTTGGAGTTGATTCATTGTGATTTATGGGGACCTTACAAGACCCCATCTACTTGTGATGCTGTTTATTTTATGACTCTTGTGGATGATTTTTCACGAGCAGTGTGGGTTCATTTGTTGCGGGACAAGAAGGAAGTTCATAAATATTTTCTTTCCTTTATTGCTATGATTGAACGACAATTTGAAGTTTATGTGAAAATTGTTCATAGCGATAATGGAACATAATTTCGTTGTTTATTGCCATATTTTGAGGAGCGTGGAATTCTTTTTCAAACTACATGCGTTCACACACCTCAACAAAATGGGAAAGTGGAGCGTAAACATCGACATATTTTAAATGTGGTCCGTGCATTAATGTTTCAAGAAAATATTCCTATAGCTTTGTGGGATGAGTGTGTCTTGACGGAGGTTTATCGTATTAATAGACACCGTCCGGGCTATTTGGAAGAAAAACTCCATATGAAGTTCTCACCGGAGTAGCACCGGATTTGCTTCATTTAAGAATTTTTGGGTGTTTGTGCTTTGCTTATAATCTCATGTCCAAAGGTGATAAGTTTGTTTCAAGGAGTAGGCGTTGTGTGTTCATTGGATATCCCAATGGCAAGAAGGGATGAAAAATATACGATTGTGACACGGGAGACATATTTGTGTCCCGCGATGTGAAGTTTTATGAGGACGAATTCCCTTTTTCGGTACCCTCTAATTCGTCACTGCCGGGGCATGAGGAGGATCAAATGCCTTTGCTCATTTTTTATGATAACCCACTGGAACAAACCCATGCGACCGATGCCACATTTGGTACTACATGTGCTGCCGAAACTGCCATACATGATCATGCAGGAGACAATACAGCCGCGGCTACTTCGGCCGAGCTACCAGTACTGGGCCGCGGCATGCGTTCAAAACGGCCTTCAGTTCTTCTTCAGGATTTTGTTACAAATCATGTTCACGAATTAAGCCCATCCTCGTCATCACCCGACTCATCTGGTTTCTCAGGTACGCAATATCCTCTTACGCACTATATAAATTGTGATAATTTTCTGCACAATATCATGCGTTCCTTGGGGCCATTCTTGTAGGTAGGGAACCAAGGTCATTCCGAGAAGCTATGGATGATGAAAAATGGCTTGAGGCCATGCAGCAAGAGATCACGGCTCTTGAAAATAATATTACGTGAGAGATGGCGAGATTACCTGATGACAAGAAAGCTCTTGGCTCTAAATGGGTCTATAAGATCAAATATAATTCCGATGGCTCCATCGAGCGATACAAAGCCTGACTTGTGGTGTTCAGTAATCACCACAAGGAAGGTATTGATTATACTGAGACTTTTGTCCCTGTGGCAAAAATGGTTACTGTATGTACTTTTCTAGCAGTAGCCTCAACCCGTAATTGGGAATTGCATCAGATGGACGTTCATAATGCGTTCCTACATGGTGATCTCGACGAAGAGGTTTATATGAAACTTCCACCAGGTTTTTCATCTTCTTGACCTGGATTAGTGTGCTGATTGCGAAAATCTTTATATGGCTTAACGCCAAGCACCACGGTGCTGGTTCACAAAGTTGGCAGGATCCTTGAAAAATTATGGCTTTCGGCAATCTTATTCTAATTACTCGCTTTTCACCTACCGCAAAGTGGAGATCCAATTAAACGTGCTTATTTATGTGGATGACTTAATTCTTTCGGGCAATGACATACAAGCCTTGCTTGAGTTTAAAATATATTTGAGCTCTTGTTTTCATTAAGGCCCTTGGCAAACAACAATTTTCCTATCTTCTTGACAACTTGAGGGGTGTTAACGCAGGTGTATTTTGTAATTAGGCCAAATTGTATTTTATTTGGGCCGGGTGTATTTATTTAGTCAGCCTTGTTTAGAATAGGGCACTCTTCATACTCATATATATACGGTTGTACTCAGGGGCGGAGCTAGGGGTGGCCACCCCTGGCCCTAGCCCAGCCCAAATTTTAAAAATCTCTATATTTTTAGTGTAAAAAATTCCGTGTAAATTTTTTTCCAAAAATATTCTTTGTACCGGCCTAGTCCGGCCCAGTGTCCTGGCTCCGCCCCTGGTTGTAGTCAGGGCCGGCCCACAGGGTGTGCCAGTAGTGCGGCCGCACAGGGCCCGTAGATTTGAGGGCCCAAATTTTCAATAGTCTTCCTACGAATAGAGCCCAATATTCAGATCACATGCTTCAAAAATTTAAAAAAATGTCAACACCAGGGGATTCGAACCCTGGTGGGTATCTTACCCATGAGGACGCTGAACCAGCTCAACCATTTGGATGTTGTTAACATCCTCTCAATTTGTAATTTTATACGGAGTATCATATAAAGTATAACTAAAAACTCATTAGATTCTAAGCTATCAAATATTAATTTGTAATAATAATAACTACTATTATTTTTTATTGCATGTCATTATTAAATTAACAAACTATTAAATATGTATCAAATGTTCATTACGTCTATCAATTATATTGATGTTAGGGAATATTTTTATTTTAACTATTAATTTATAATTCAATTTAACAAATCAATGAAGTGTATTTTGTTAAAGAATAGTTTTATTTTAACTATTATGTTAGTGAATAACTTGTATTTTGATATATATGAATTATTATTATAGTAGCAAATTTTTACAAATATAATCTTCACTTATATTGTATTTCTACCTATTTTAGGAAAAGGTCTACATTTTATTTTTGCACAGGGCCCGTATTTTCTCGGGACCGGCCCTGGTTGTAGTGGCTCGTTTGAAGCAAGTTTAATAAAATCATTATTCTCCATGTTAGTGCAAAATCCAACATCTTCAAATTCCAAACACTCATTGGATGAAAATGAATACAGAAAAAGCTGTACCAGGAGGTGGATGTTTGTCGTCAGGCATGGGGAGGCGAACTGGAAGCGGCCCAGGCGACAACAGAGGATGAGACCGCGGCGGCGGCAGAGGCGGGGGAGAAGCAACGCTGGTGTTGTAGAATGGGTACATTTCATTCCTGACATTACAACTTGAGTAGAGAGCTCTATTCCCCCTTGCCGACACCAGATTTTGGATTGCACTGCTAACGCAATCTTGACAATCCTCGTCGGAAAGATCCGGCGTGCACTGCTCCACAGTGTAGATCGTCTCATTTCCGCTAAACTTAGCTTCTTCAGTCACATATTTCCGGCCGGAGCCGTCGTCACCGGCGAGCCGGTTCACCATATTACCCAGTTTCTTCCCCACCCATACCATGAAAGTCTCCGGTCTAGGATCGTTCTGTGAAAACAGAATATTCGAAACAGAGAGGTCCAGCTTCCCGTACATGGGCTGGTCGGAGTACCGCAACATACACTCATCGTACCACACGACAACCGTCTTGTAGTGTCACGCCCCGGTCTGGCCGGACGCGCTAACAACCGCCGCATAATCCGATTAAGGCAACCGCAGTTCACCCTACTCGAACCATGCTAGGCGTACATGAATACCATTCACACAAGTACATCCATAAACAATCATAAATAAAGCATTTCAAATATACGCAGCGGAATACAAATATTTTTAAAAGTAAAAGGCCACACAGGGCGAACATGAGCACGCAGGCTCCCAAATCATTTATAATTTAAAAATAGTCCATGAGCATTATTTTATTTATATCAAAATAGAACTGGAAGAAGCACGAACCACGTCTTCTCTCCATGGATCACCCGAAGCAACGGGAACAGGAAGCAAGCTCTAGCTTCTACCTGAAACTGTGAGGTGGCCTCCCCCGTGAAGGGGAGGTCAGTACTTGGAAGCATTTGACAAGTACAATGACAACTATACTGAATATAATTCATGTTTCAAACACAAGACCCTCAAAATAGGGTGATACTATATTATGGGCATAACCTACAGCTACCCCATTTCAAATCACTTGTATAGAATATATATACCAAGTCAAATAGCCGACCCGTAGGTCCATTTGTATTTCAAAACAATTCCCCTTGTACAGCCCTTGGCCTATTCTTGCATATAGCAATATCGAGAGGTTATCCCACCCCTAGTCTAAACCCAACTCCATCGAGAGGGTTACGCAATTTATCATTTGTACTCGTCCACGTTGGACTTACCCACCCTACGGGTGTATTCATTCATTTTGGGCTTACACCCCCAGCATAATATCTTTGATTCATTTAGGGCTTACACACCCCGTATATTCTTAGTTTGTGTAGGGCTTACACACCCCGTATAATACTTTACTCATTTAGGGCTTACACACCCCGCGTAATACTTTACTCATTTAGGGCTTACACACCCCGCGTAATACTTTACTCATTTAGGGCTTACACACCCCGCGTAATACTTTACTCATTTAGGGCTTACACACCCCGCGTAATACTTTACTCATTTAGGGCTTACACACCCCGCGTAATACTTTACTCATTTAGGGCTTACACACCCCGCGTAATACTTTATCATGTAGGGCTTACACACCCCGTATAATACTTTATTCATTAGGGCTTACACACCCCGCGTAATACTTTATTCATTAGGGCTTACACACCCCGCGTAATACTTTATTCGTGTAGGGCTTACACACCCCGCGTAATATCCTTTATCTCGTTAGGGCTTACACACCCCGTATATATATCCCCGTATACTCATTGTACACGAGCAATCATAATCTATCAACCTCGGGCTAGTCTTCATCCAGACTCCCCGGGCTGCCTTCATATAGTCTAGGTAGACTCCACCATTTCCTTTGAGTGTGACCATAGTCCATCACTCATTCTAAGTTCATGCCTATCTAATTCAATACTATAGATAGCACATACAATTAATCACTACGGATTCATATCACTTTGATCATGTCAATAACTCAAGTATTCCTTACTTCACATTTAATCATTTTGCCTATCCACATAGGTATCCATATATCCCTTTTAAGATCTTATGGAATCACACATTTATCAACATTTGTCTATATCATGCTAATCCTCTATATCAATTCAATAATTAATATATTTCAAGGATTTCTCCCCTCATGCATAATGCCTTTGCTCATTCACCTTTGTAATATCATGTATCAATTTATATGACCACATAGCAACACATTTATTCACATTGGAGTATATCATTTAATTCCATCAAAATCATAATTTGATTACTTAGGTAATCTCATGCTCAACTCACGAGTTATAGACAATATAGTCAGCCATCCTCACCTTAAATAAGTCCAGCAAGGTTGCCTATTGAAGCCCCGTCGTTAAACCTTCGATCGGGAATGATCTGAATCCACCTTGGCTGGCAGAGGACAAAAGCCGCCCGGCTTTTGCAAAAGCTGCCCGGCTTTCGGGTTCTGCTGCACGAAAACAGCACCTAGAAGTGGCGGTTTCCGGCGATTTCGATTCCTATCGATTCAATAACTCTTCTAAGTTAATTACCAACACTTTATATCATATTTCCACACTTTTAAACGTGTAGAACATCCTCATTAATCCCACATATGATTTCTTAAAAATCATATTCACAAAACGAAGTAAATAACTAGTTTGAACGGGATTAGCATTCGGTTACCTAGAATCGAGCTCTCTTCTTCCCGGAATCCTCCTCTTTCTTCCTCCTTGCTCCAAGAACGTGTGAAGCTTTTTGTGAGCTCTCTCCCCTCTCTATTCTTACGCACCAAGCTCTCCAAATGGGAGGATAAGGAGACTCCCCTCCCTTATCCTCTATTTTTAGGAAGTTGGGCCGGTTTTATTTGGGTTCGGTTCACGGGCTGTTTCCTTTTAATTAATCCGGCCCGAAGCTATTTACAAATTAATCCTCCCGTTGATTATGGTCTACACTTTATACGGAATACCCCGAATTAAAGTGTAGGAAACCCTTCAGCCTTATACGTGCTATTTTCGGCAATATGGGCTAGAACGCCATTTTGGTTACTTGATATATCTCGGTTGGGCCTAACGACTTTCATTCATTTATTTATATCATTTTTGGCTAGTAGACCATAGTAGGTCGGTCCTAAAATGTATTGGATAGTCCCCTCCAATATCCCGGGCTCAAACCCCTATACATTTCTATTATTTAGTAAGTGGACTCAAGTAGTCTCTCGTCTTATTTCTTTACCTTTTATTAGGCCCAAACCATTATATTTTACTTACTTCCTTATCCTTGGGCTTTTTATTTAATTTATCTATGTCCAAGAATATATTAGTTAGTATCTCCCCATGTTTGGGGTCCGACCCACAATTTAATAAATCGGTATTTGTACTTTCACTCAGATTTTAATACCAATGGATTAATAAATCCAAGTTTAAATTGGGAGCGGTGTTAC